TTCCTTCCTTTACATTTTTCTTGTTTAAGATCCACCTTAATATTATCCTCAGATCAAAACCTACTTCCCCAAGTCATTTCCCCGTTCAGGTCTTCCAACGAAAATGTGCGCATTTTTCAAGGCCCCCCCCCCGCAATTCATGCTATACGCTCCGCCCACCTTATTCGCCTCTACTTGACGAATAATAGTTGCAAATTTTAAGCTCTTCATCACAAAGCCCATTAAATTTATCAGTGCCATTGAAAATGTACAACCGACGGTCGGTCTGATACATTGACCTCTTCCCGCTGACGTCATGTGTTCGGTGACGGATTGGTCGAAGTGCAAACACGTAAATATAATCGGTCTTATGGGTATCAAACGACTACACAGGATTCCGGGGCAGAGTGTGTGAGGTAGAGGCACGAGCCGACATTTTTGAATTGTACCCGGCCCGATAACCATTTGGCTCGTCCTAGCCCGAAGTCTATCTTCAAATATGCCACCCGTACCCCACCAAACCAAGAAAAAAGTCCCATCTATCTCCAATCCGCCCAGACTATCATATCATTAATACGTGTTCTTAATTCATAAATATCAGTAATCTTCTCCCCCCCCCCCCCACTTTGTCCCGCTTTGGCAGGGTCTACGTTTTCCTCATCAGTTATCTCTAAATGAATTATTAACGGACGCTCTTTGAACATGAGGTTATTTTAGAGCTTAAGGAATTTATAAAAAATATCGGATATTACCAAGTCTGTAAGATGATGTTTAGATCTCTTTCTGGGGAGGGGGGGGGGCTATAAAAATTCACGAGAAAATCAAGTCAGTGGGATTTGTTTCCGGAAACCGACTATTTCACGAGCATAAAATGAACGCAACTACAAATAATCTTTTATTTGCTTAAAAAACCCAGAGAAAGCCCGAAATGTATTTAACCTGGGCATTATCTGACCAGGACGCCTGCAGACTTAATACTGCAAGTGACCTTCTGGAGATCTTAAAGCCAACTAAAGTATGGCGGATCATTTTCAGTAGATTACTGTAAATGATTCAGATATAATTGGTCCGAAAGAACATTTCTTCTGGGGCGTGCAAGTTACTTCATTGGCTGGAGTAAACTGTTACAAAAATCGAGCTTTCCCTCTTTGAAAACAATGAAGTTTGTATTTTCTAAAAAGCAATACAGGTAGCCCTCGATTTACGCTGGGGATGCGTTCCTGGATGAACCGGCGTAAATTGAAACTCTTTTATAATGTAAATCAATGGGAAGTCAATGACATACGTTCCCAGCACCCAAACATTGACGAGTAATGTAATGGCATTACATTTGAAGCTCTGAAATAACGTAAATAAAATAATGGGAATTTAAAAAAAAATATTTTATACACTTACAATCGGCAATTCGTTGGTCCCCGCGATTGACTGCGATTACTTCATGTGATTGATGTTTACAGTCATCTCTGCTGTTATGCGATAGTTGCATTCACGTAAGACGCCGACCTATAGAAAATCGCGTAGTAAAAATAACCCCGGTACCTCCGCAGAGATTAAATTAGTCCTTTGAAAGTTTAAAGCGCCAGGAATTAAATTGCATAAGAGCAAACTCGCATATGCAAAAGTTTGCATTTCACAAACAGCTTTTACCGATTCATCGATCTCATTGGAGCAAATTCGTGTTAACAAAACAAACGTAATTGCAGAGATGACTTTATTTATAATTTTTATTTAAAATCAGCGATGTAATAATTACGATTTAGTGTAAGAATCAGTACGAGATACATCGTAAAACGCGCTTTACAGCAGGGAAAGGGCCCGGGTACCAATTGGATAGGGTTGGCCCCAGAGCCGGACTGCGCAGGGGCTAGAGGAATAATCCTCTGCCCCCGTGGGCTATCGAACCCCGATCGTCCAGCCCGTAGTCACGCTTTACAGCAGGGAAAGGGCCCGGGTACCAATTGGATAGGGTTGGCCCCAGAGCCGGACTGCGCAGGGGCTAGAGGAATAATCCTCTGCCCCCGTGGGCTATCGAACCCCGATCGTCCAGCCCGTAGTCAGTAACTCAGAGCAATATCTTAACATGTTAAATTTATCCTCAACAGATTTTTATGTAGAAGGACACATTATATTTCTCACTCATTGTATGTCTGCCTGTGTTTTGTTTCAGAGTCTATGGTCGCTGGCGAGGTAACAGAAATGTAGCAGCCTGAAATACACAGAACGATCGCTGAACTAATCTTATAATTACGTATTTTCGTGAATGACGCACGCAAATTCATTTATTTTACGTATACAACTGGCGGCAATAAAACGCAGACTACGCCAGCCATATGTTGACTGACGCAATACGTTCTGGTATGACATCCGTGCCTTACAATTAATGCACGCATGCGCGCTAGTATTCTGTTTAGAGTGGAGTGAACTCCCGCCACGCTCTGAAAAATGATGTAATGCCACGTGGGTTTAACTCTGATTCCGGGTGAAGAAGGTTCTTGCAACTTCAGATAAAGATTTAATGAAGATCTACGTTTGCTGTTTGAACCTGAAAAGTTTATCATTTTGAATCCCAGAGATAACTATATGAATTTTTGTTTCAAAAGTCGGTAGACCGCTGGCCCGTTCCGTCTCAGAAGAATGTCCTGTACCCTCAAGACGAAGCAGTCAGTATTCTTCGACATATCCTGTTTGGGTCCATTCGTAGAAAATACGTGTTATTATTTTAATCCTTTGCTTGTTAGTTTCATTCTTCCGGGTTAAAAACGTATAATTAGCTGGGTGTTGTATCGCTATTAACCCTCTGAAGCCGAAGTGCGTCCAAATAATATTTAAAAATTAAGTCCGTACCGCAAAGAAAACAAAACTTTCCCATTAAAAAAATCAGCTGTTCAAGGAAACAAGATCGGAAAGTGTATTCCGTACGAGAACACACATAATATCCCCATGCGTTCTTTGCAACGTGTATATGGAGTTATTAAATCTGCATTTGTCGATGGTTCGTAGGATATTCATAAATTCAATTTTGAGGTCGTGCAGAACATCACAGACTCCACATCAAACTTCAAATTCGACCAGTGGTTCTCGAGTTGAATCGATTAGATGGACGGACAGACACGACGAGCCCACAATGCGTTCTGACCATGCACTTTGTGAAAAGAACGCTGTTTACTATGAGAATCTCACGAAACCCACAAATACACTACATTGACAAAATGCAAAGTTCCTGATTGTTAACATAGGCCTTAAAAGAGTAAAAGAAAGCTCTGTCTACAAACACGTTTTAAAACTTCCACATATGCCATTTCAGTATTTCTTCTATCAACTCTGAAAAAAAAAAACCACACGTCAACATCGAAAATGCCAAAACGTCACATTCCATAAAATGGAGTCTTCAAAAACAGACGTAAACTTTGGGTTCAATTTAGATCTGCCTGGTTAATCCCCCCTGCAGTTCGATTGCTGATGCAACTTCTACAGAATTATACGTCACGTAATGTCAAGCAAACGCCTCGATAAGATAAGAAATTATTATCGACGGTAATGTAACTCCATTGACAATGAACTACCTTCCCTCAGCTGCACCTGCGCGTGGGGGCAGCACATGGCGTGGCAATGCATGATGCAACTTCTGAGCCTCGTGTCAAAGCCACGGCCCAACACAGACGGAAATCGATTTATAGCAAATCGATATTACAGAGGAGGTGTGTCATGCAACTGGCCGACGCTATCCGCAATGTTAATGTTAATGAACATGCAAAAAAGCGTAATTAACAATCTGTACCATGTTCTCAGTTTGAAGAAATTACAGCGAACCTTCCGAAACGCTCGCCACAATTTTATAAGTTCGATATAGAGATTGTAAAAACATTCCATTGTCGAAAATTAACCGGATCGAATTCGGAAACTACTTCAAGTAAAAAGTATGGGATTATATGAATACATATAGAAATACTGTAAACCCCCCCCCCCCCAACAAAGAAAATGGTGTCACACTGAGAAAAGTGAAATAATGTAGGGATACAATGCCAATTGTATCACGGATCAACAATTGCCATTCATCCAGGCGACCACATGTGCAGTCATGCCACGTGTGTGAAAAATGAATTATCATGCCAAGTGTTATGCAAGAGTATTCATATGTTTCGAGAATAAATATCTGCAAGCAATGACAAGAATAAAAAATGCTGTGATATGACGATGTTCTCCAAAAGAAAAAATCAATGGCTAATGCTCCGGTCTGGCTAGTATTGGCCGGCAGAATTGGAGGAATATAAAAAAAATGTTATACTACATCCCACAACAGCAGCGTATCATATTCATATTATTATTATTATATTGCCGTCTCATGTTCGTCTAAATGACCCAAGTTATGTATAAATGTCCCTTACACTCATGTAATTTTATGATAATCTCTTTGTTGTATTTGTTATTGTGTTTTTCTCTTGTGCAGTATCTGTAATTGACCTAACCTAAATGTTGATGTAACACACTGATAATAATAAAGAATTGAATTATTATTAAAATTCCTTAGCATTGTGAATGTTGGAGGGATTTAATAATATTGCATTTCCAAACGACCTAATTTCTAGATGAGAATTCGCCACTTACTTGCATTGCCGTCACATAAAAGTAGCTACTAAATTTCTAAAAAGATCCTGTCTAATTTTCACTCTAGATAAAGTTTCCAAATGCCCACCACAGCCAGCCCGCTGGTCTATTTCCAGAGCTGTTAACGGTGAGATACTCCATGCTAGCATATGTCGTGTGATATTTTAGTTCGTTCACTTACGCCAAATATTTATTTAGTTCGTGATATTTCACTTTTTCATACAATCTTTAATGGCATTAAGACGTTCCATCGATACTTGTGGATGGCAACTTCTGAATCGATTATAATACTTGCAGGCAATGCCTTAGAATAACTAACATAACTTCACTTCAATCGGAATGCAATGTGCACACATATGTAATACAGTGGATGGCAGGCAGTAATTGTGTGTTTCGTTAACACTAAAGATACGAACCCTGGTAGCTGTTGTCGTGGACATGTGGCGATCAGTTTCTTAACACCTCGTTCCACCGTCGTCCTCCTACAATCACCAGTAGCACATGAATGGGAGCTACCGACCCAACGCCGTGGAGACACAGTCTACCCACGGATGTGATGCTGCCGCGCAAGTTTTCTCAGCCAATAGCAGCCATTTTATACATTCGGACTCTCACGAATTTAGCCGATCTTGCGCGGAAAGGAGAATATGTTTCGGGACGCCAATTCAAAATGTGAGAATGGCACGGTACAGTGTACCTAACTGCTGTGGTTCCACACGCTGACATGCATTGTTCGCTGGTGACCCACATACAGGACTTTTGTAAATGTGTGAATATTCGAACTGAAATGTTACAGATTTTACTGATATTATTTTATGTAACAACTTAGGCGGGGAAAGGAATACGCGAATAATTTTGCCTAGGAAACCTAATAAGAAGGAATAAATAGATGTCGGGACTAAGAACTGGACTGAATTTATTTTCGTTTAATTCATTATTTTAAGTTTAAGAGGAAATTTCCCTTTTCGGTGACTCGAAACGTTGCTAATCACCTATAAAACCACACTGCTATCAGAACCTCATATTCGAAATGATTTCTGGCCATCTTTTACGGTACTCCTGAAAGACACTTGGTATTTACTTCATTTGAGAGTCATTGGTGAAGACGAGACCAGCATTCGCCCACCTCTTCTGCCCCAATGACCCCAATGGTAGCCTTCCACTTTTCTATCACGCCGACACTTATGTGGTGCAACAGCGACCAATGATGAATATTTGTTGTCATGACGCGGGACTAAAAGTGTGACATGATATCAGAGACGCTAACTGAAGGTAGAAGTACGAATTCATAAACTATTAACATGTTCGAGCTGTCTCTCTGCGTCGAAAATGCTGGACGAAACGTGATATACACGGATTAGGAAAAATTCGACCGCTGTATATCCCGAAATTTGCCTCTGGCCACATTTATCCTTTCTTATCTACTCGCGAGTAGACTGTTTATAAATGAGAACACTTTACTGAAGGTTCTAGACAATGTGTTAAAAATGCTACAAACTATTGCATACAGGATTCCGTAATTTGATGATATTTTAACAGAATCAGTCGTTATTAAGATATCTGGCAATGCGTTTTACTTTATCGATGTCATTAAGGTGGGACCTATTTGCAAATTTTATAATCCTCATCAAGCAGAACAGATGCATGCAGCGATTTTTACTGTGAAGTGCTGACGAGACATACATCGGCGGACCGCGGGTTGAGAACTCCTGGTCAGAGGAGATCTTTGTTACTTTTTGCAGAAATAAGTACAGATCTATTTAAATTTTAAGGTGGCTGTCTTCTGGTATGTTGCGCCGTATAATGTGGTCCTTGCTTCCTCATTCAGACTTGCCTTCGTGAAAACCTGAAATCCATTAAATTTGTTGTAACATCGTTTTTGAGATTACCTAAAGATGGCATCTATGTCTTACCTCAGTGCGCCATCTTTAGGAATAGAATACAAATAAATGGTACAGACGTAGGTAATCGATATTTTATATTCGTGTAGTTTCAATTCAAACTTATAATTGCGTGTTACAGGGGCGTAATAATGGCCCCAATGTATGTGTCTCTGTTTTTCAAAATTGAATGAGAAATACAATTCTGAAGAAAAGTGTTAAGAAATCATTTGATTCCGTTGGATGTTTAGGATTTGAATCACATCCATCCAAGCAAGATTAACATACTATGATTCAATGTTTGGGCGCAGAGGGCCGTCAGCACTGCACGTTTTTCGGCGGACACGTGTAGTGTGCTTCAACGCATGTCAACAACATATAAGCGTATGTGCCAAGCACAGTTCTATAGTAAAGCTTGAAAGACATATTCATTGTGCTGCCATCTATCCGCTCTGTTAAGAAACGATCTGGCGACCAGTCGGTAACAACGTTAACTATCATCCCACTATTACAGAAGGATTTGAGGTTCTCTTGGCGATGAGTACGAAGATTGCTGTCTTCTGGGTTATTGCGCCGTGTAGTCTGGTAAATTTCGACCAACATTTCAGAGGTCAGTCATCAAGGCGATGAATGTTGAATTATTTCATTTCCATTACCAAGCAATTTTTTATTTTAATTACCAAGGCTATGGAAGCAGTCGAATTTAATTATTTTTTTAAATTTTGCATTTATAAATTTTCTATCTTCCTAATACCACATTAAAAAATGATAGGCACGCAACTTGTTTCTCGATATGTTATGGTCGAGATTAAATTATTTCGCAATACGTTTTCAAAATGTCAGGGAGCTGATTGTATCCTTATTGCTATCTATGCTTGGAGTTGCCTTAACAAAGTGGAATTCTCCAAAATATCACACACTCTATGCCGTGGAAAAATAAAACAGAACTTCCCGTTCTATTTTAATATTAAACTATTTCTTCATCAACAGACCCTCATAACGTTTACGCCAAGGGCCACTTTCCGCATAAGTAGGTACGGACTAATAACCTATAATTTGGAAGTTCTTGTAAAATTCTGTTCTACGTACATGGAATTACTTTATGCATGTAAATTTTACCTAGGACATGTTCGGATTATAAATTACATAATCAGAGCACAAATTAAATCTTGCAACTTTGTGGAGATGGCGACTCCTGGGGATGACTACTTGAATCATAGATAATACCAAATGCCAAACTTGCAGTCTGAATTATTCTAGAAAGGCATCCAGCCCTTGGTGACTCATAAGGACGCATGTATGAATTCGGGTGGTTCCTGCTCAGTCCACAGACTTTGTTTTGTCAAGATCATGCTATTTCCTACGCCACCCTTAATCTTTCTATTAATACTATCACACTTTCACATCTGACGACTCTCTTGAGCAATTTGGGGTTTGCTATTTAGGTTGAATTTGGGTCAAGGATAATAAGATATAATCTGAATTTCAATGGGCGAAGATTGCAACACTGCGTAACAAAGAAAATTCAAATAAATTTCCGACCGTCATGAATGAATAATTTAATCCATAAAATTTATTGCAAAGAATGATGAGTATATTTTATTACAAGTCGATAATCACTCGAGACCACCGATGAATCTTAAGATACCATGACTATGGCCACAGATAATCCGTGTTTATAGCCTTGGTTCTAATGCTAAGAACGTATTGGTATACTAATTTATGTTTTGTATTTCAGGGTTGTAGCGATATGATGAGTGTGTAATTGTTTTGTATTACTTAATTTTTCAGTTACAAATGCAATTTTAGAACTTTATCAGGCTTTCAAATCAATTTGTTTAATAGAAATTGTCATAGCATGAGTTGTCATCTTACACATCAACTGATCAAGTGAAGGCAGTCTGAGGTCATAAGAAAAATCATACTTACGTTTACAGACTTCATTTTATTGTGAGAACTCATTACAACTGTTAGGCTTGCATAGCTCTTTCTGAAACGTCGCTTCACTCAATCTCCATTCAGGTGAGGAGGCAATGACACTAATAGAACTCAGTGATGTAAATAAGGAACGTTAATATTTTAATTTTGCACAGAGTTGTCATGTAGTTAATTCCTGGGTTGAATTCACATATACGGAGGTTCATCCAACACGTGATGTTAGCAGCTCCTAAATCTCGACTAGCCACTAACCAAACAATACCAATCTTTGGGTTAGGCCACTTCAGTCCTTTAAAGCCCAATTGTAACTTTATGTACTATGTGCTTTAACAATCGGAAAAAGCTGCACTGTAAACAGCGATTATTTCCTTCAACAGCATGTTTTCTTAGAATAGAATAGAAGAATATTAATGTTAATTATGTCCTTGAAGAATAATGGCCCAGTTAGTTGTACCTGCATCCATACCATATGGAAGTTGATTATTTTTAAATTGTAATTATCTCTTAACCTCATTTGACATATTCTCACTGCAGAACCTGGCAGGGAAACAAACAGTGGTTTAAAGTACTGTTTTAGTGTAGCATGCACTGTATTGGCCTGCATGATTATAAGACCCTTTTCCAGGAAAAAAAATATTCATTTGTAAGACATTGGATAGCAAACTGCTTGTCTACTCACCCAGCCACATCAATAACCCGCTCAATTCTTCAGGGCTGCCAGATCTTTGTAAGTCCCAAACAGGTGTTCACCCTGAAGATGGTAACTGCAGTATTTGCCAGAATTGAAATCCCATAACAATTGATGCAGCTTATTCATGACATCTGTAGTTATACATGTAAAGGATTTAGTTGTAGCCAGATTGCTTAGTTCACTCTCCAGTACCTTGATTCTGTTTTCACCATCGGATTCAAGAGCTTGTCACAATCTTCCAGCGTCTACACCATCCCCAATCTCGAAGCAGAGTCTTCATTCCCTGAATCTGTCTGAAACTGTCCTTGATGAAGTTGCTGATTTAGGAAACCCCATATCTGAAGATCCACATTCTGCTTTCCTGCAGCTAATTTAATATTTATTTTTCCTCATAGCCATTTTATGTTATATAAGAAGACAAACTAAACTTGTAGGATTCAGAATTGATATTGTTTCGAATAAATAATTATTTTCCAAGAGCCTCTGCACAGTTGCGTTTTCTGATAATTGACAATAAGAAATTGAGCGATGACATTGATGATAATGTATGTGGCAGCGTGTTTCCAAGAGTCTCCACATAATTTTTGCTGATGACTGGCAAACTGCTGGAACATGGGAGATCTGAAAAACTTAAACATGATCTTTCACAACACAGAAAGTTTTATTAGGTTGAAGAATAGGAGCCACAACACCCACCTGTTTCAGTATCTAATTTTTCCTCAATGATACACACAAATTAATACATCAATACATCATCAGCTTGATAAAGAAATACCTAATCTTGCTTTTATTTTTGTATTTCAGGTTGTGAAGATCCTTTGTTAGTACAGTCTATTGAAACCTACGTAATGCTGCACATGGAAGACGATCTAAAGCAATATTTATCTAAAGTAAGTTCCAGCAGTTTTATTTTTATGAAATTTGTCACAGAAAAAACTAAAGCCTAGATTATCAAATTATATGATAATGAATGTGAGACTCAAAATGTAGAGGGATCATTAGAATTTTTTTGTATGTGTGTCTGATGCTTCCAGGTAGAGGTCTGCATGGGACAGATTTTTAGAATTTAACCCAGTCTGGCCTGAAGACCATTTGGCCTCAGCCAGAAGTTTATCTTTAGATATGTTACCCATACCCCACCTAAGCCTGACTTCTTTTATTCCAGCCCAAATAACACCCATTCTCTTTCCAGTCTGCCCTCACTATTGTGTCATTAATACATGTTTCTTTTAATGCATAAATGCCATTATCCTTCAAATAAATTATTTAATAACACTCTAAAAACATTGATTACTCTCATGTTTGAGAAACAGTTCAAAGATATTGGAAGCCAAGTTTGTTTTGTGTTATCTCAATCTATTTCTTGAAGGGGACAGATACGGAGCCCTCAATGTTACAAATATAAGATGAGAGTAACTATGAATGACTTCTTATTTGCAAAAGAATGATGCCCCAAAATATTCTATATAACATAATATAACATTATATATGCTGCCAGGTCCAATCTTATGCAGACCTATACAACATTTCCTGCTTGCCATTAATGAGACATCATTCTTTTGTTTTTACTTCTAGACCAAAATACATACTGGTGTATTATAGAGTCTTTGTGATTTCCTTAATGGCTCTTACATGTTTTTTCCCATTAAATTATCGTCATCAGCTTAGAGTAGAAACTTATGTGTCACAGTTGATGAAGGTATATAATTTAGGCATTTCTTGTGTGAAATGAGTTGTTTCATAACAGTGTTTAAGCTACTGTATATGAGTGTTTCTGTTTTCAGTATCAGAATCCAGACATTACAAGACGAGATGTAATGAATACAATGAAACACTATAGAAACCTTACTCCTAAGAGGGAACCATTTGGTACGTATTTTTAATCATATTGAACTCAGATTTTTTTTGTTTACTTGAAGTTCGAAAATCCTCACCACATTCTCTCTATTACTTGTTGATTTTCCTTTTGAGGAATCAAGAAAATTCATTACCATGTTGTGTAGAGCCTACTGCTGGACCCTGTCCTGAGAGATAAACCTAATCAAAACCCTTAAACCCTTGTTCTTATGTGATAAGTTTTAATATTATCTCTCCCATATACAAGTTTTAAATTTTATTAATCTTCTCTGAGAACATTGTTAGCTGAAATAATAAATTTGCAGTATGTATTTCTAATTATATTTCTGTTGATATTGGTCTTCTGGGTTGTGATACCATGTAACTCATAGGTAGGTAACCAGTGTTTCATAGGAGGTTGCTGCCTTCCTCTTTAGGTCCCAAAGATGGACACAGTATGTTCCTCCGAAGCACTGGTATCTACCTATAAGGCTGCATGGTGTTACAATCTAGAAGATGAATATCAGTATCTTCATTTCTGTGAGAACATCAGATAGCATGAGTTCTTGTTGTTAGTAAGTCGTCAGCATGTCATTAACGTTCAACTTAATATACACGTAACCCTCGATTTGCGCCGATTCAGAATAACGCCGCTTTTGAAACCAGCAAGTCAAAAAGTGAAAAAAATATTTTACTATTATTTATAACGTTTTACAATGTTTCTCGTACTGATTCTTATACTAAATCATAATTCTTACATCGCTGATTTTGAATAAAAATTATAAATACAGTAGTTTCTAGATAATCTCCTAAAAATCTGCCAACATTGCACAACAGTCACGTGAGCATTGGTCACTCTTCACGGTGAGTCATTTGCGTTCAGCCTGATAAGGGAGCAAGGAAAAATGCGCTCAGTTCGCTTCTTGTTGACACATTGAATGTGCTAAACGTGTTTGTGTTGTTGTTCGACCACTATTCTGCAGTAGCAACTGTTCTATATTTGGATGACATGAATCGAAAAAACATTCCCTTGGCTGAAATTGCTATCGCGGATAAGACAAAGTCAATTTTTGAGGAACTTAAGACGTCAATGTTTGGGTGCTGGGAACACATGTCATTGACTTCCCATTGATTTACATTATAAAAAGAGTTTCAATTTACGCCGGTTCGTCCAGGAATGCATCCCCAGCGTAAATTGAGGGTTACCTGTACTGGATTGTGACCCATTCATTACAAGAAGGCATGGGTTTACTTTCTTTAACAGGCTGAGTAAATTCATCTTGTTACTCAAGGTCTTTTATAGCTGACTGTTGGATCACTTTTACTTTACACTATGCAAAGTTTGCATAAATATGTGTACAAGAATGTGACTTTAAATTTTTGTTTCGTCCTGTGTAATTTCATAAAATGTTTCTGAATATATAATTTGCATATTTGTATTGCAGTGAATGTGTTTTGAAAACTCGATGGTGAACACAGTTTACATAGCAAAACAACAAAATAAACCTGATTTCTTTCATTTCACAGAATATAATTCACAAAGTGCCAATTCTTATGTATGTATTGGTTTTGTTTATTAAAATATCTTTATTTCATTAATTGAATTTGTGTGTACATCTTTTTTGGGGGGCACCTGTGTATAGTGAATTAGTGTTTTATTGTTTCATTGACAGTTTTCAATGATGGGAGTAAGATGGAGCTGTTCAACCTTGAAGGGACAATCCCTGTATCTTACAAAGGTGAGTAATGGTTTTGATTTATCTGAAGAACAAGCAACTTTTATTTGGACCTTGTGTAACAATGGGCATTAGCAGCATTAAAAGAGAGAAGATAAGGTGACTAAAACTAGTAGAAGTTTGTAAATTTTAGGTACTTGTAAAAGTTGATTATCACCCTCAGTGGGCTAGTGGTTAACATGCTTGCCACTGGACCCAAGATTCGCTGGTTCAAACCTGGCTGAGGTCGATGGATTTGGAAGGGTGATAGAAATCCGTAGCACAACTTCCTTCGGAGGGGAAGTAAAGCCGGCGGTCCCATGTCGTAGATTTACGGAATGTAAAAGAGCCTTACGAGCATGATACAAGCGGCCATTTCCCACCCGAGTCTCTCCTGATTCACTACTAGATGGTTCTGGCAGTCAAAATCAGGATTGAGTAGAAATTGTGTAGAGTCAGTGGGCTGGTCACTCACTACTCACAAACACACACATTAATAGACCCAAGGAAACCTCCGAAAGGAGGCCCTATGCTCCAAAAAGGGATACAGGAATAAAGAACAAAAGTTGATTGTTATATTTGCCATTCCATAATGTGACAGGTTGGATCCATTAGGTTGGGCAGGTATAGTTACTGCTGTGTCAGTGTTACAACCTTTTCATCAAACATTTCTCAGTTCCCCATATGATAATGGAAGAACATAGAGCTGGTTTATGTTTTTAGTTCTGGGTATACATACTTGTGATGCATGTGACATTCTAATTCCCTGGGACTTTCCAACACCTGGGGGTGTGTTGAGTCTAGTGTAACTAAAGCACTGTCCTTATGGAGCAAATAAAACAGGCTGCTACCTGCCAACTTTACTGCTTTGTGTTTTAAAGATCAGTAACAGTGATAATTTTTAGTTTCATGAAATAATATACATTCCAAAAGAGTCAAAGGTGCCAGTATATTTTGCTGTGAAATTTGTTCTGTAGTCCTGGAATGTGTGATGACACTCTGTAGTTTGGTTCAAAATAGTTAAATTTTCTGTATCAACTATAAAAGAGATTTTGTCTTAAGCCTTTATTTTTGTTTGATTCCCTTTTCTGATCTAATGAAACATGATCTGGTGTTCTAGTCATGAATACGTCTCAGCTGTTTTAGCTTTGTTTAATTGTTTTATTTCCATGTTTGCCCATAGTCCAGATTTTACTGCACTGTAACAGAAAGCAGAAATGTAAGAACTATGACATGTCAGTGGATAGAATGATAGATATTTAAATGTTTATTTACCAGACTTTCTACGCAGGCTTTTTACATCTGTTGTGCTATTTTTAACTACGAAACTACGTGATTTTAATTTGGTTCTTTGTGCAGGCTCTATGTACAATATTCCCATATGTATCTGGTTGATGGACACGCATCCTAATAATGCCCCGATATGTTACGTGAAGCCAACGCCTGATATGCAGATCAAAGTGTCAATGTATGTGGACAATAATGGCAAGATATATTTGCCATATCTTCATGATTGGACACCTGTAAGTAATGTTCAGTAGTCACCCATTTTCTATGTAAATCCTGGAATGTGGACAGTTGCGATGTACAGTGAGTACTGCAGTTTAATGTAGAACGGGCTGCATTTACTGTCTTTCCAACTGCCAGTGCTTTAGAAAGCTGCTCCTGTGTTTTAGAAGACTATGTTTTCTCAACTCTTATACCAGCTGAAGAAATAAATCGCTGAAATGAAGTAGAAGAAAATAATTGTCAGTAAATTTCCACATGCACCTCTTGTCTAGCGCAAGAGATATCTAGATGATAACTGATTTCAGTCCACACCTCTGGATCTCTGAACATGGCTTGTCTTCTGGGTTGTAGCACCATGTAGTCTGGTAAAGTTAACAATTATTTCTGTTGATGGAGGCAGCAAGGACCTCTGAAACAATAAACTTCTACCAGTCTACATGGTGCTGCAACCCAGAAGACAAGCCATTTTTTTACTGCCTGCTGTGAGATCTGCAAATCCTACTTTGCACCTCTGTTTCAACAACTGCAGTGATTTTTTTAAATGATTTTATCCAATTTGGCCACTTTTGACACACTCCACAAGAACCAGTTGAGAGGTATAATGAGGCAACGGTCCAGCTTGCTGAAAAATTCCAACTTCATCTTCTTCCAAATGCAGAGAGAGATATTCTCAAGGATAATGATGAATGTTTACAGTGATTGTGTTGTGTACTTGAATGTACATGTATGAAGTAAGGTTGATTTTAATAGAAATCTTGTCCCATTTATTTTCACAGGTTTCATCAGACCTTCTAGGTTTGATTCAGGTCATGATAGTGACTTTTGGAGAGCAACCTCCAGTGTATGCCAAGAAACGTTCTGATATGGCCTCCGCCACTCCATACCCTACACAGTGTGAGTACTGTTATTGTAGTTTGTCAGTGAGTAAATTTTAGTTTGGCAATTTTAAATTGGAACTAAAGGCAGTCTGTTTCTATGAATTATGTTATAATAGTTTTCAATAGTTATACTGCTATGGATTCTTTACTCATGAAATATTGATTTATTTTACTCACTGTTCTTACAATTAATTACTTTCGTGATTGTAGTTCTGTTAGTTTATAAATCAGTCTTTATCATTCTGTTCTCTCATGCGTACTGCAATGCTTTGTTATTGCTTGCTCACATCTCACAACTTTTCATCACATGCATTGCATCCATTGCTGTGTTGCAGTCACTGAACTTGGCCACAGCAACTTCCCCAGTGATTATGTCTCACTTCCAGCGCACAGCTCTGAACTCACTAGTTGCACAACAAAATACCCTGAACTCACATTCTTATGTAGGCATGCAGGTGTGAGAAGGTGCTGCGTTGCTTTGAGACCTTTCTTGGATAATTATTTGCTCTTCACCACCATTCTGGATGATTTTAGTTCCTTCAGTTTTGCTCAGGAATGTCTGGGAATGCACTGTTTCAAGAGTGCTGGAACTGTGTGTCCATCTTGGCAACTTCAGGCTGCAGGAGTTGGGGAGGGGGTGACTTCAGCACTTGCGTCACATCACAGCTAATACTTCTCAACTTATCAACAATTTCTATACAAAACAGCTGTCCTTAGGTTTTCTAACTACAAACACTGAAATGGTGCACAATTTTGATGTTACATCTGATGAATTTAATGTATCTGTAGTCAGTATTAGTAGAAATTATAACTATAAATAGATCACTGAATTGTGTAATTGATAATTTATTCTTTGTGCTACTAGATTCATTATATATTTGTTGTTGTATCTGGAAAATTTAACTTGGTCAGAATTCAGAATCTGTACTAGTGCAAATTATGCACATAAAAAGATCAGTAATTATATAACATTATATTGTTCTTGCTAGCTATACTGTCTAGCAGGTCTGTGGAGTCGGTACTAAAACCTCCTACTCCTTCATAAAAACTCAATATGTATTAATAATGGTAAACCTACTAAAATGGTAAATGGTACCACAAGAGATTCCATCACCACCACGTGAATAATCAGGCTACTTTTTAGACTTATAACCTATGTTTAAATATAAGTCTAATGGTTATTGCAGAAATTGGTTGATTTGTAGACAGTTTGTATTATTAAGGTACCGGAGCCAAAGTTACAAAGCATTATCCCCACACCGTGTGGCTCAATGCATCGTTGAATCTCCCTAAGCGTGAGGCTGCCGACGGCTCACACGGTAGCAAAAGTGTTCTTAATATTATATGTCAGAGTCGGTACATTTTTACTGACTCCGCCTAAAATTGCTTCTGACTCCACAGCCTTGCTGTCTAGACTGAAGTACGAGGCTCGTCCACAAAGTAAGTTTCCCTGGGGCCGTTTACAGAAACAAAACACAATTTCATGGGAATATTTATTGCAACAGATACAGCAAGTGTCCAGCTATTTTTCAACATATTCGCCACCGGAATTGAGACATTTGTCATACCGTGGGACCAACTTTTGAATACCTGTGTCGTAGAAGTCTGCCGCCTGGGATTGGAACCACTGTGTGACAACCATCTCCGCCTCTCTGTCATTCTCAAAACGCTGACACTGACCGGACAGGAATTTCTTGAGGTGTAGGAAAAGATGGAAATGACTGGGAGCGAGGTCCGGGCTGTAGGGTGAATGATCAAACACCTCCCAGCTGAACTCCTGCAGGAGACTCGCTGTCCGGGTTTGCTAGCTGTGGGACGAGTGGGAAACTTACTTTGTGGACGCGCCTCGTATTTAAAGGAAAGGAGGCATCATTATTGGTTTGTTTTTATGGATGGAAAGTGCAGTAACTTCTGTTTGTTTATTTGTTTGTTTCAGCTTACATGCCAATGCCTGGTGCAGGTGTAGGGCCCATGACAGCAATGTATCCTCCATACCAAACTGGTTCAGCTTATCAGCCACCTACATCCAATCAATATTCCTACCCACCTTATCCTGCTGCTGTATACCCTAATTTCCCTTCAACTTCGTACCCTTATCCACCTACATCTGTTAATGCTTTTACTGGATACCCACCTAGTTACCCAGCACCTCCACAGTCAGCAAAAATCTCGGTAATAACTTATACAGATAAATTATAGGAGATAATAGGAACATGATAATATAAATATTAATTTATACAAAGCTTTTTTCAAGATTATGAAGATGGCTCTCCTCTTGGTTGTAGCACTGTGTATTCTGGTAGAAGTTTGCCAATGTCTTAGAGGTACTGATGATTCAGGCAGCAAAGACCTCTGAAATATTTGTAAACTTCTTCCAGACTACACGGCACTACAATCCAGAAGACAACCATCTTTGTACTTGTTGTGATGAGATGTCAAATGCTACTTTTCTCAAGATTCATTGTAAACTTTGCTTTTAATTCTTTGTGTTATACTTAAAAAGGTACAGAATAACCTTTGAAGTAAAAGGACAAACAGTGAAGTTCATGGTTTGTCTGGTCATTTTCTTTGCATTTTTATCACTTATTATTAGTACAAAATGGGGTGAAGCACAATGGTATGAGGGTGTATTGAGATCTTAAGGCATTTTGACACTAGCTGGAAATGAGAGGTTATGTTAACACTCCAACTGATTTAAACCTCCCACCCCTGGAAAATAATCTTCAGATATTTATTAGACGAGAAGTTGGATAGGCCCTGGATCAGTTACATTTGTGGTGTGTAAGTCCCTGTAAAGTCCTTGACAAGTTAATAGACACTCAGGTAGTGAGATTCCTTACCTGTTGTGGAACTTATAGGTTTATTTCTGCGTTCACAAGAGCCTGTCACTGGACTCGATACTGAGGCCATTGAATCTTGTTACGGTGTTACGGTAAAGAAGAAAAAATATCACAGCACTTGTGCTTGAAGTCAAATCTGGCTGTTCTGTGTAATAGCTTAATTATATAACTTATATAAAAATATCATAATGCCTGCCAGGTATGAAAATGTGGTGTGTGTACAAAATTCTTGTTACTACAAAGCAATTATAATAATGAACCTTTTAGTTCCATAATGATGGAGAATTTCTTGATCAGCTGGATAACTGTCAGCTGTTGATAGAAGACTCTTATGATGTAGTTACTTCCTATGAGCGATGATTGAAAAGTAACAGGACAACTTATTTCTTCAGTCATGCCAACTGTCATGAATTCTATCCTGCCTCTGTGCGTTTCTCATATGTTCTGTTTCATAAGAGCCTGCCATATGTGTGTTGGCTTGCGTTGTTCATATGATGAGGTATAGAATTTGTAAATAAGGGTCAGCTTAGATTTAACTAGAGGGAGATCTTGTTTCAAACAGTGAGACATAAAAGTATCAGTGTTGGCCTCATGAAGTTATGTGATGTCCCAAAGAAACGCATCACCCCTTACTCTAAACAGAATGAAATTAATAGTCCAGGTATCCACAATCTGTGGTCTTCTGATGTGTTTTATGCAGTACGTGCACATTTTTGTAATCTTCTGTAACCCTGCATTATTAAAAAACAGTTGCCACATAACATTTACGTAATTTGAAGTGAACAGTCAATAAAAATGACAATTCGGCATACATGGACAGAGTTTACTCAAATACAGCTTATGTTACTCATAGAGATATTGTGAATTCAAGCAATCTTAAATATTGTAATATGTGTACACACCCAATGGCCAGTTTAGAAATCTACAGATGTTTTGAACCAACATATACTGATTTAACAATTCCAATTATGTATTTTCTTCCTTATGCCATTTCCACACTTACAGGTTTACTTTTGCATAGAAGTCTCCACCTGTCTCTATCTGCCCATTCTTGCATTTCGTCCACCCTTCTGGACTCTCCTCTCTTCTTTACTTTTCTCTTAACTTGCTCTATCCATTATGTGCATGGTCTGCCCCCTGAGTCCTCATCCATTCATCTTCATTTCCAATAATCTTTTTGGTGTTATATGCTTTTTCATTCTACTTCTTTCCATTTGATTTTTGTATTTTCTACATCTTGAGCTGTCCCCTAAGGTACATGTTTCTAATTGTATCTCTCCTGGTTTTCCCCACTGTATCCTTCAGGAATTTCATCTGAACTGCTTGTAATTTACTTTCCTCACGTCGGTACATGTCATATCTCTGTTCCATGTAATATCTTTTAAAGTACAGATTGAATATTTATATAGGAATCATATTTAATAAATATAATTCCAGAAAAAGTCTTTCCTTATCCTGAAATACTAATATAATTCATAATTAAATTATTTACACAAAAGAGCATGAAGTTAGACGTTTGTTGTATATTTAGCTGCTGGTACAAGTTCAGAACTTACAAGCACTGTCTTACTAATTACAGAAACGTCTGGAAAGAGTCAATAATTTATTCATCATATTGAATTAATAAAGAAATGAAATGCCCAAGAAATAGCAATGCCTACCATGTAATTGAAGATGTTCGTAACAGTTTTGATGTCCAGGTTATAACTTGTGTAAGTGTTCATTCTGCGGTCTGTGTAGATGAAGGGAGACATTGTTCAGCGTAGTCTCAGTCATATCTCCGTTGATTCTTGGTGAACTTAGAACATGTTGATGAACTAATATGCTTGATGTGTAATGTTACATTTGTTTCAAGTCACCGTCACCAGTAAATGCAACTAACAATTCAGGTGGCGCTACAGATACCATTGATACAAAGCACATCAGGGCTTCCCTTTTGTCTGCTGTGGAAGATAAGTTACGCAGACGTCTGGGAGAGCAGTTCTTCCAGGCCCAAGCTGAATTGGAAACTCTGAGCCGTACCCAACAAGAATTAACACAAGGCAAAAACAAGTTGGAGGATATCCTGGCACGACTAGAAAAAGAACAGGTGAGGTTATATGGGAGGATATTAAAATTAATCTTAAAATAAAGAAAATTTGTGAAGATGCAAAGTGACTCAGATTGAGTCCATTGATAGTTTTGTTTTGATAGAGATGAACTTTGGATGCCATAACAGTAGGAGTTTCTTGGACAACTGAATAAATACCAAACAGTTCAGGTAAAACAGAGTTTAGTCAACTGTTGCAGTTAGTGGTTACATAAAATAATTATATGCTAAGAACATATTCTTTAGGAACCTTTTTCAAAACTGGGTTTATAACATTAGAATCGTAATTTATGCAATCTTTGCACAAATAACACTAGGTATGTTCCCATTTCATTTCCAAAACTAAATGGATTTTGATTAAATTTAATATTGGGGGCCATGGTAGGTTGTTACCAACATTTCATAGGAGCTTATTGGCTGTATCCATACCACCTGCAAGTCAAAAATAAATCATAATCCAGAAGACATAATTCAAATTTGGAGGGCTGTTAGCTGCATAGAACATCAAAACCAATGAGATACAAAATACCAAGAAACACATTTGGAAATGTATATTCCATTGGAGTTAGATTTTTCATTTTTTTTCTTTTTGCAGGTTGAATTAGATAAAAACATAACTATTCTTAAAGACAAAGAGCAAGAACTGGATAAAGCCATTGAACTCATGTCAGAGCAGCAGCCGATTGATGTGGATGAAGCTGTTACCACAACAGCACCACTTTATAAACAGTATGTAACAGTAATTCATTGTCTGAAATGAGCTGAGGGTTACATGATCATTGTATCAGAGTGTACAGTCTGTGTATGCATCTGTATGCAATATACTGACTGCTTTCCAAACTTATTATATAATAGTTTTCATGCCCTCTTGGGAGGGATTTATTAATGATATATATGAACAGATGTATAGCGCTAACCCTTTGTTGCTGTTAACTGATAAAGCACAGTGTGTATTGGTATGTTGAAGATTTTTGTTCGATGACCAACAAAGATGAATGTTCTCAGTTGTGGAGGTGGAAAACTTTATGTAAGACAACAAGACTGTCTAAAGAAGAGATGTTATATGTAGTGTAATGAATAAAGTCCCAATGTCCTGAGAATGTACATAACATGATGATGAAAACAGCTTATTGCCTAATATAACATAAAGATCTTTTATGCAGTCAGTACATAAAATTGAAATATCAGACAAGGATAATATTGGTCTTACATTTGAAAGATATAATTTTAGTTTTCTTAATGTTAAATTCCATATACAGTAGAATCCGATTAATTGGGCCATCGGTTAATCAGGGCAGCCGTTTATTTTTGACAAATCTTAAAGAACAGACTGTTATAACTCTTTACGTGGAATTTTGCATAATTGGGCCAAAGTGGTCTAGTCCCGACATGTCCCAATTAACCGGAATCCACTGTATTTATTTTATTTGTAGTTTAACGGTGCTTTTGCAGTAGCTCTGACTATGTAGCGTCAAATGAGGGGATGACAGCGAATTGGAAAGGATGTGGAAGGAACCAGTCATGGCATAATTTAAGGTACTATCCCAGAATTTGCCTGGAAGGACTGAGGAAAACCACAAAAAAACCCAGTCAGGATATCTGGTCTCCAGGCTGAGATTTCAACCCTGGACCTCTGGAATATGAAGCAGGAGTGTTAACCACTCAATAATGTTGGGTTTAAATTCCATGCAGTTTTCACCACATCACCAAATCAGTACCAGCCTGAAGAGATGACAGCGTTCATCAGACTTTGTCTTGATATATTTTAAAATCATCAGCAAATAAAAGAAATTTGGAATAATCAGTTTTAACACAGAGGTCATTAAGAGAAACATTGAATAAGAGAGGTTTAGATAACAGAGTAGGGAGAAGAAGAGTTTCCTAAGATGTGAACAAAGGAAGATCAGTTGATACGTAACTTTTGAACCACTTAACATAAAATGAAGATAGTTCAGAATTATTGAGCTTATCCAATAAAACAGAGTATCAGAGGTCTGGGGCTAAGCTAAAAATAAACTTTCAAACCATCCTTGTGGTTTAAGGAAGTGAATAATTTAGTTGTTAAGTTGACAGTCCATCTACACAACAGTTCTTGATTGTAATTTGTGTTTATTAAGAATCCATTGCATGGTTTGACCTTAATCAGTCAACTTCGGGTGGTTGTCTTTAAGTGTTTGAAAAACTTTAAATTGGTTGTTATAGATTTCTATTTAATAAAACCATGCTGACCTATGCATAATTTAAATTTGAAATTCATGGGAAGGTGGTCATGTACAGTACTTTCAGAAAAATTATGTAAATTCAAACTAGGTCTATAATTAGCAAAATGCTGATGCCTTTCTTGAATTTAGGTACAGCATCTGCCTGCTTTCATAACACGGAAAAACATACAATTTGTAAAGTAAGCCAACTTTGATTTTCCCCAGGCAATGCCCCTAACACTTACTCCAAACCGGGATTACTTACCCCTTCAGTGGTTGGTCCAGGGCTTTGTTCCATGTACTTCTCCCCTGCCTGGGCCAATAGGTGTAGACACCCGTGAGCTTCTGCCATCCTGGTTCCAACAGTAGTGCAAGAATGACCTAAGTTCACTGTTGGCCTTGTATCTCATTTGTGCGACAGCGACACATAATGTGACGTGAAGAACACCTTTGTAATATCAGTGTACTCCAAAGAGCACAGCTTTGCAACTTGTTTTTCCAGGAACACTATTTGTTTTCCGTCACATCTTGTTTAATTTACTTTGTTTTACCATCCTTTTATTTTGTTTGTCTTGCTGTATCTTGTGGTGTATTTACTATTCATGAGAGTTAAGTAAATACCTGTGACATAGGCAATCTGGTATTCAAGTGATGTGCACATGCACATTTAAGAACATTAGCCTTTAGTGCAAAGATATTTCTCACACATTTTTGTTGCTTTCCATTTTTCATGGTATAGATTTTCATTTATTTGTTTTGTTACTGTTATTACTTTATAATAGTTATTGTAAAGCTTACATCAAATCAAAAGCACAACATTTTTGAGCCTGCTAGAAATACAGCGCATGACTTCCCAGGCCACATACGTCACAGGTATTTAGCCACTGGAGATCTTTTTATATGTTCATTTCTCAAACTACTATTTATAAATCTGTTTGTACGTAACCCAGACACTTTTCTGATACATGAAAATCTGTTGTTTTGTTGTAAAATCACTCCCAAAGTGCAGTGAAAAAAACATGGTTGTGTATAGCACACTAACCAGCATGGCTCACAATGTTCGAAAATTTGTTATTACAGTAACTCACCCAGAAACATATGAAGCAAGAACTGGATTTCATGAGAATTGAGGAATGAGCATAATTATAACAGTGTCATTAACCAATTTTTGGTTATTTCTGCTGTGGTAAAGCATTATGATCAAATGGTTGCCTGGCTATAAAAACAGCAATATACATAGGTCACTTTTGACTTATAAAATATTCATGATCACCAAGCAACCAGAGAGACTGAGGGAAGTGGGGACACAGATAACACTGTAGAAAAAGATTTCACATAATGACATGTTGTCTTTTCCAGATTGTTGAATGCTTTTGCTGAGGAGGCTGCCACAGAGGATGCTATATACTACATGGGAGAAGCATTGAGACGTGGAGTTATTGATTTGGACGTGTTCTTGAAGCAGGTTCGAAGCCTGTCACGCAAACAGTTCATGTTGCGTGCCCTGATGCACAAATGCCGCCAGAAAGCAGGCCTTGCTGGATGAGAAACATTGTTTTTAAATGGTGGTATTTTGTGATAATATATAATTTGTTTCTTTATATTGAAGTCACTGAAAGTGAACTCATTAATACAGTTTTGTTACATTTTATAAGTTCTTTGCCATAAACCCACCTCTGCTAGTCATCAGTTTTTGTTAATTTTTGTATGTGTTCTCTAGGGATACTAGAAGTGAGGGTGCAAGGGGAAGTAGTTTACCCAACATATACAGCAGTTTTATGACCCATGGTTTGCCCCCTCAGATTTATAACACTTCTTGTATCTCTTGCCTTTACCTCTTGTGTACTGTTGCACATTTCAGTTCCCATTTATATTATAGAACTACACAAAAGTGTTAAACATGTGTTTATTTCATCTCTTGAAAGTCATGGCCCATTTTACATAGGGAGGCTATTACATAATAGTTTTTATCATAGTTTGCCTTACATTATTACATATTATTTGCATGTATCTGACCATATGTCAACTACATTTTAATTTTCATTAAATTTACTGGATAAATGATCAGTATGTTTCAACAAGTTATGAGAAAATTTACAGTTGACATTCATGGCGTACCTCTGAACTTGCATACATGTACAATATCAGTTTATTTCCAAAGCAGTAATTACTGAATGCTTGCAACAGTTACCTCCATACTTGAATGCAATTTGAGTTGTATGTTTTCATAGCTGTTACATTACAGTCACTGGCACTGCACTTAAGGTATGTTTATAATGCCGCAACATCCATCTAACTTGAAGATGGCTGTCTCCTGGGTTGTTGCACCATGTGGTCTGGTAGAACTGATCGCCCTGATGATGGAGGGAGCAAGGACCTCTGAAATGTAGGTAAACTTCTACCAGACTATACAGCAACAACCCACAAGATGGCCATCTTCAGACTTGCTGCCGTGAAAACCTCAAATCCTCCATCCAACTTATTTTCTCCATTCAACCATCTGTCATGGCTGGTAGCCCGAGAAGAATTTAATAAACTTAGACGCTTTGCGTCAGATCATACATCCATCGAACTTGATTATGTATTTTGATTGTTCTTCCTTTCATTAAGTGAAAGAAACTGATGCCAGAGTGAAGAACTGGCTTTGGAAATATTTTCATATTGATACACAAGTGGTGAGATAACATCACATTGTTTAGTTTGTGGATATGAAATATTCCTTTGTGGTGACTGTCGAGAACTGTTTATATAAATACTAATATTGAACATAGTTGTTAATAAATCACATGAACAATTATCAAAGACCACATGGAAACAAGAGAACATTCTGTAGATTCTTTCATTCCCACATCCTGCATAATATTTTTTTAAAATTAATATCAGGTACTGATCAAGGAAATACAGCACTCTGAAGGCCAGTACGTGTCAGAGCATGGATAAAGGACAATTACTAGGTGTGAGTTCCATTACAAAAAGTATTTTGTGAGCCTAAGATGCACTAATGAAAAGTGGATGAATATGTTCTCAAATCTGTAACCAAGAATTTTATCTGAACAATAAAAATATTTCATGACAATTTTACGCTGGGAAAGGGGATTGATCAAAAGTCAGGTAAGTTCAGTATATTTCCACATTATGTAGTGTGTAAGGCTAAAAGGAGTTAGAACTCTTTATCACACCAGATTCACAATGCAGACAAAATACCTTTTCCACCAATAATGTCCAGTTCCCTCATCCAGTTTCATACCACAAACATGTTTAAAATTATGACCAATTTTGCAGTGCATTAATTATGTAAAATTCATTGTATGCCCTAGAAAGAAATTTGGCATCTTTTTATACATGAGTTTTTAAGTTGAGAGCATTTTATAAAATTTCATTAATATGATGAATGTCTGACTGCCATAAGCAAATATTTTAACAGCAAGAAAATGCTTTAGTACTGACAACTTACGTCATACACATACAATATTCTATAAGGAGTTTCTCTGTCAATTTTTTGAACACTTGAGGCAAGGAAAGACCACTAACATATTACTTTATAAAGAACATTTATTCAGTAGGTCGAAATATTGTCAGCGACCTACATATATATTTATAAAAAAAAAACCGAAAGGCACAGTCTAATTTACAATTTGCACGACATAATACAATACACTGCAAAGCTTTTCAACAACTAATTTAAACACCGGCGAATTACAAATAAATTCCAACCCAAAGAAGCAAGAACAATACTCCAAATCCTGAGAAGATCGCAGCAACAAGAGCCACCACAAGTTCTTTGAATATGTCTCTGGTGAATTTCGTGCTTGTAACTTCATACACAAAAAACCAAGCTGTGAAGAAAATGCCTATTCCCAGCAGAACAAGTGTCAGGTGTGGAAACACAGTTGGATTTACCGGAGAAACATACCGCACCATGGACTCAATCTCAACCTGGAGTGGATATTAATCAATGCGTGTAAAACAAATACATCACACTAAAAGGGCGATACATGAGCCTACAAAACAGGTAAAAACATTTTAATTTCAGTAGACCTAGTTGACAAAGTTAGTACACACCATTTTGCCAGTAAATTTTGCAAACGCTTGTAACAGCAACAAATTGACGTTCTCTGCGGCGTACTATTAATTCAAAGACGTGGCCATACACTATTATGTTGGTATTATGTGTTACTCAATGATTACTAGACAAATGTTGGTATTAAGTGTGGGCATGTGATGGCACCACAGAAAATAGTTCATAGACCAGCGCTTCTTAACCTTTAGACTTCTGCGGACTTCCACTAAATCACTAAGCCATTTCTACGATTTGACCCTCAAAACAATACACAAAAAACAAATACACAAATTACGAAATATTTTATTTAATTCACAAACAAAAAATACACAGAAAATGAAATTTAATTTTAATGGGAGGGTTAATGCTGAATTTCAGCGACTAGGTTTTCAATATTTTGTTTTATTTCTGAGATTTGAATTATGTGGCCAGATTCCACATTTCTTTAGCAGTTTCTGTATTTATTTTTTAGGTTCAAGAGCTGAGGAAACTTTTTACATGAAAAGGTGGTGGGGAATGAAATTAAAACTTTCGGTGCTTTTTATGCCAACATGTCTAACCAGGAGTAATCATTCAAGCGCTCTGTAAGTGCGAATGAAGATTCCAGAGCAATTAAGAATACTCTGATTTTATCTCTTAATTCGAGAAGTCGGGACAATGTTTTGTTGCGAGACAGCCATCTGACTTTTGTATGCAGCAAAAACTGCTGATGATCGCTATCCATAACTGACAGAACTACTCAAAAAGTTTGAATTTAGTCACCTACATTTGATAAAATTTATAAATGGTATCTTGCCGACTGCGCTGGTGTTTATATAACTCAGCACTGTTATGTTTACGTGGCTAAGATAATAGGTGGCAGAACAATACGCATATATCCACAAGTACCATTTGAACTGTGAAATAACCGGAAGTTACATCTAGTTCTTCTCCCTAATATTATCTGTGCTACATGTCACTAGAAAAGCCAGTGGTATACAGATAGAAAGCAATGGGTGAACAGGATGTTTTAATAACATTAAGTTTTTAATTGTCACTTAAATATTATGTGAAATGATTCCTCATTCGTTATGTTGAATTGAAAAACAGTAAGAGTAATGCGTGGTTGTCAATTTCGTCTTCAAACGACTTGTTCTTTCAGGGGTTTTGACACCTGGTTACAGGTATTATAGGTTAAACTAATATTATTTCAAAAGAATGATGTTGAAGTATTTAAGTTGTGTCTTGGATGGATCTAATTTCCATCACTCCGGTAACTTGTAGCCTGAACTCACAGCAGCTTTATTTCAGAATGTGAGTTATATTTCCTAAAATTAAGATCGTTACATCCGACTCGTCACAGAAATTATAGGAGTTTGAAAGGCATATGATGGTAACCATAAGATCAGTGTTTCAGTTTATGAAAATAGAAAGAAAAAATAAAACTTTGCTTTGTTGTGGCAACGTGAACTTTAAACTTAAAGATAATAATAGAATGTCTGACCTAGATTTACCTTAATGAGATTTATATGTCATCCTTTTAAAAATTGTTGGAAATGACTTCTTGAGCCTTTCCCTAGATGTGATTCAGTCTTAATCTTAAATATACTGTTACAGGAGCTGACCAGCTTTGTTGTATAGGACTGCAGCTATATTTTGTATGGGAGCGGGATGGTGTGTGGTGCGAGACGATCTAGTCACACGGGATGAATGAGGAGGAGCTGCTGCGGAGAGCGGCAGAAGAGAGGGAACTCATTGTCAGCCGCTATAGTCGTGGCAGAGAAGAGGGAGCTCAGATTGATCCCTGGGAGGATCCAGGGTTTGAAATTTACCATACCACTGACCGCTATGGTTTCATACAGTAAGTTAAAAGCCAATTGGCCCAGATTTATAGATTTCCAAACAACAGGTTTTTGTTTTGTGGGGAATATCTAAGAATTGTGTTAAACCTTTTGAAGATGTATGATTTAAGGCGTTCACAACAATGTAAGCTTGTAAGATGGTAGCATGAGAGGGAAAGTACTTTGGGAAATGCAAGTAGTTAAGCAGTTCATAATCCATTTTGTCATATTTAGAATAAACTAAGTATTATATAAACACATATGTGATTTTATCTAATGGGTATGTGTGTGTGGAACTTGGGTGTTACTTGGAAACACTGTTAAGATTCCCAGGAGAGATAAATTAGCACGACAATGGCGAATGTTACATAATAAGAAGATTCATCTTTTATAGATTTTACCAAGTACCCATTGAATGTAGGTGCGGTTGAGCATGCAGAATATATAATACACAAAAGAAAAACAACTGCCTAAATGAAGATTGCTGTGTCCTGGTTTGTTGCGCCGTGTAGTTTGGTAGATGTTTACCGACGTTTAAAAGGCCCTTGCTGCCTCCATCATCAGGGCAATGAAGGATAAGAGTGAAGAAGGAGAAAGTAGTGAGCATGTGAGCCATAGCGTGGCGCAACAGTATGTTGTCACTTTACTAGATTGCGTGGGTCAGAGAGGGTTTGAATGCCGTGTCATTGCAGCCACCAAGAAAGTTTGTACTGCTTTTAGGAGGAGTCTAAACAGTTCACAAAAACGAGTGACCATTACAGACTAGTTCTTAAAATAAATGTAAATTGTGGAAAAAAGCGAAGTAGTTTGTAAGATTTTGTGAATGCTCTGAACAAGATACTTTGGATTATCCGTGATTTTTGATTGTTCATCTTCTCCCCTTCATTAGCCCATTTAATCAGGTGTACACTGTATCTCATTATTATGAGCGTCTGTACCTTGTACTGAAATGGGAGTATGATGATGTGCCATCCCTTGACTGATAATGAAATATATTGTTTTCACCCTTACCACTATCTTCTAGAGGAGTAAGCTGTGTGGGAGGGTTCAGAGAGAAATTTACTCATGACTATTTTGTAAGTTATGCTCAGGAATTTTTATTGAATGATGAGGGGAAACACTTGAAATTTCTAAAGATAGTCTCGCAGTTTGATCCATAGATTTTCCGTGTGGTATATTTTTATGGTGCTGCTGGAGACATAATGTGATTTCAGTTCACATCTCAATTGAATAGTCAAATGTTCTCCCGCATTCCCGCTTTGTATTCTGGAGGTCCCCAGTTCAGTTTATGACCCACAGGCTGGCTGTGCTGGCTGAAGTCTACCATGGTTTTCCTTAGTGATTAATGATGGGATAGTATCTTAAAATAGATCAAAACTTCTCCCTTCCATGTCTTTGACAGTCATCCTCTCATTTGAATCTCTGTATTATGTGCATTTGTGAGACAGCATTAAATGAACTGAGAAGAAAAAGAAATATGTTGTCACCATCACAAGAAAACCCCATAGAACCTCAAAATTGAGAAAATTAGATTCCCATGCTATCTAGTAGCTAAGACTGTAAGTGAAATAATGTAAAGCTTGAATTGTAACACGTCTTAAATTTTGCTATCTTGTAAGTGAGACACTGAGAATTAACGGATTAAGACGAGGATTGTGTACCAGTGGAAATTATGCGCAGAAATTAATTACTAAGTTATGTAGTTTCTAACTTTAAATTGTTTCTAGCCTGTCTGTAAGCATGTTAAGTTTTTAAAGGAGAGTTAGGACAAGTTCCTCTGGAAATATCTTTCTTTTTGTTATAAATACTGTTTTTATTAGTAGATGAAATCTTGGAATTCTGGTCACAATAAAATAGTCTCTAATCTAGAAGCTGATTGTCATCAGGTGGTCAAGATATTTCATATATTTTAAGGAGCCTGTATGCAAGATTCCACTTCTGGACCTCGTCCTGTGCCATTTTAATCCAGTCCAAACCCTTACATCATATTTATTTAAGAACCATTTTAATATTATCCTTTTATCTGCATTTATGCCTCCCAAGCTGTGTCATTCCTGCAGGTTTTCTGACCGTGTGTGCTGTGCCATTCCCAATTCATTCTCCTTGTTTTGATGATTGTTATAATATTTAATACTGAGTTAGGATTTGATCCCATGATCACAGTGTTTATTTGAATGCTCTGACACTGTATTCATCATCGACTGTACGGTCATTAGTGGCAGTTTTTCATAATCTGCTTTTGGAATGGGTAATGTATCCAGTACTTTAACATTACATACAGTAGTGCAGTGGTGCAAGTGGAGGGGAGTGAGGAATCATACCCCCATCTTATTTTCCAGGAACCGTGAAGTTTTCCTGATATTCTCGTAGTGCCTTTATGATTGCACAAGACTGCACCAAACAAACCTCTTTGTGTAGGATTTGAGGTTTCCACAGTGGTGAATCTGAAGATGGCTGTCTTCTGGGTTGTAGCCTCCATCATCAGGATGATGACTCATCATCGTCTTGAAGATGGAAGCGGCAATGACGTTAGTAAACTTCTACCAGACTACATGGTGCTACAACTCAGAAGACAGCCATCTTTCTAATCCTCCTTATGTCTGTTTCCAAGTTTTTGAAGCACACTTCAATTGCATGGGATGAATCGTATAATTGGGATGAGTGAATTTGGAGGAATATTGGTGGTCAGGACCTTTTCTAATTTATTTCCTTAATATTTAGCTTCAGGGGCACAGTATACTGTCCTGAGCTCATTTAAGGCTATATTTACATTAGTAAATTAACTTTACAGTGACAGGCGGCTGCCAAAAAGGGCAGACCCACATGAAGTGCGTCAGTGTCAGGTGGAGATGGAGAGGGTTAAGAAGTGGCTCAAAATGCTTAGGAGCTGGGATAGAATGTCCATGACAGAGAAACTACGTCGTCGGATTTACAAAGGGATTCCAAATTCACTGCGTGGACAAGTATGGAC